GATGGGGAACGGTATGAGTGGGTGGGGGACAGGTTATATAGGATCCCTAAACCTTCCCAGAAGAGTGTTGCCTCTCCGCCGAATCGCCAGTTAGTGGTACCTGCAAAGTACCGGCAGGAGATTCTGCGGATAGGGCATGATGTTCCTTTAGCTGGACATCTAGGGTCCCGCCGCACAGCCTATAGGATTTCACAGAACTTCTTTTGGCCAAACTTTAACCAGGCTGTGCGGATGTACTGCAGCACGTGTGACACATGTCAACGGGTAGGAAAGCGGGGGGACCACCCTAAGGCTAGGCTATTATCGATGCCTATTATAGGGGAGCCCTTTGCCCGCATAGCCGTTGACATCGTGGGTCCACTGGCCAGGGCTAGTCCATCAGGTAAGAAATACGTTCTTACCGTGGTGGACTATGCCACCCGCTATCCAGAGGCAGTAGCGCTGTCTAACATAGAGGCAGAGACGGTTGCTGATGCCCTGGTTAGAATTTTTACTAGGGTCGGGTTCCCTAAGGAGATTCTCTCCGACCAGGGAACCCAATTCACCGCTGTGCTCACCCAGCAACTGTGGAAGGTGTGTGGCATTAAGCCGTTACTTAGCTCACCCTACCACCCACAGACTAACGGTCTCTGCGAGCGCTTTAACGGTACCCTCAAACAGATGCTGAGGACCTTTACAGACACTTGCAGAGACTGGGAGAGATTCCTGCCTCATCTATTATTTTCTTATAGAGAGGTGCCCCAGGAATTTACTGGGTTCTCCCCCTTTGAGCTGCTGTATGGGAGAAGGGTCCGCGGACCCCTAGATCTCATTAGAGGCCACTGGGAGGGGGAGACGGAGCAAGATAGTGCCATATGTTCTGGAACTCCGGGACCACATGGAGAAACTGTCCCTGATGGTAAGGGAGAATCTCCAGGCGGCCCAGGGGAGACAGAAGAGATGGTACGATCAGGGTGCCCGACAGCGGGTCTTCCAGGTTGGGCAAAAGGTATTGGTGCTTAAACCTGTGAAGGCCAACAAGATGCAAGCATCTTGGCAGGGCCCGTACAAGGTAGTGGCGCAGATCTGCGACACTACTTACTTGATAGCCAGCTGTGCAGATGAGAGGATCCAGCGGTCCTTTCATGTGAACATGCTGAAAGAGTACCAGGAGAGACCTGAGAACATTGCAGCAGTGTGTGCCCCAGCTGCAGATGATTCTGAGAATTTACCCCTTCCAGATCTATTAGAAAGGGATTCCCAGACTGACCTTACTACCTTGGTACAGCTAGGGGACCGGTTGAACCCTACAGAAAGGGTACAGGCGCAGCAGTTGTTATGGGAGAAGCAGGCGACGTTCTCCCAGGAACCAGGTTATACCACCCTAGCTGTGCATAAGGTAGAGACCCCTGGACAGACCCCGTTACGACAGCCCCCCTACCGTATCCCTGAAGCAGTCCGGAAGGAATGCGGAAGGAGATACAGGAGATGACCCAACTTGGGGTTATCGAGCACTCCGACAGCCCTTGGGCCTCGCCTGTAGTCCTGGTGCCAAAGAAAGATGGGACCACCCGGTTCTGTGTGGACTACAGGCGACTCAACGAGCGGACCACCACTGACGCCTACCCAATGCCCCGGGTAGACGAATTACTAGATCGTATTGCCAGGGGGCGATATCTGACCACCATAGACCTGTGTAAGGGCTACTGGCAGATCCCCCTGGCCGAGGATGCTATCCCTAAGTCGGCATTTGTCACCCCATTTGGCCTGTACCAATTTAAGGTCATGCCTTTTGGGATGAAAAATGCACCGGCACTTTCCAACGGATGGTGGATAGACTCCTGGATGGCTTCCAAGAATTTGCCTGTGCATACTTGGACGACATTGCGATCTACAGTGGGTCCTGGGAGGAACACCTGGTACATGTAGGGGTAGTGCTGGATAAGATTAGGGCCGCTGGCCTGACGTTGAAGCCAGAAAAGTGTCATCTAGGTATGGCTGAAGTACAGTACCTGGGTCACAGAGTGGGGTGTGGGAGCCAGAGACCAGAGCCAGCCAAGGTAGAAGCAGTGGCTAACTGGCCCACACCTACTACTAAGACCCAGGTATTGGCCTTCTTGGGGACGGCAGGGTACTACAGACGTTTTGTCCCTGACTACAGCGCTATCGCTAAGCCCCTGACAGACCTGACGAAGAAGAACTTGCCTAAGCAGGTCCTGTGGTCTCCGGCTTGTGAAGCTGCGTTCCAGGCACTGAAGCAGGCTCTTGTGAATGCCCCTGTCTTGGCTGCCCCAGTCCCTAACAAACGCTTTCTCGTCCATACAGATGCTTCCATGTATGGCCTGGGGGCTGTGCTGAGCCAAGTCGGGGAAGATGGAGGAGAGCACCCTGTCGCATATCTCAGCAGAAAGTTGTTACCCAGAGAAGTGAGTTATGCGGCAGTGGAGAAGGAATGTTTGGCCTTGGTCTGGGCACTGAAAAAGTTAAGCCCCTATTTGTATGGGCAAGAGTTTTCCCTTGTGACTGATCACAACCCAC